GTACCATGGACATACAGGTACCAGAAGAGGCTAGAAGAGGGCATAGGATTCCGTGGAGTTTCAGGCTGTTATGTGCCACCTGGTGTTGGTGTTAAGAAGCTAATGCCGGGTCTTCTGGTTCATCTTTCCATTTCATATTCCACACTATTAAGTCATCTAAGGGTGGAAACAGTAAAGGAAGGCATTATAGTCTTAAATACTTTATATTCCTACTCTTTGTGGTCTTAAATCCATATAGATTACACAGCTGTGGAAAACATGAAAACTAAAATGTAGGAAGGAAATCAAGTCAACCCCAATGTAATTGTTTTTCCATTGCAAGGCACTTTGACCTTTACCATCCTCAGAAGTGTCCTCTGTGAGTTGCACAGTATGCCTTTTCAATATGAGCGAGGGAAGATTCAGGAAGAGAAACCTGGGCAGCTAACATTAAAAGCTCTGATGACATTGCTTGTACCATCACGGTTTGTTCAGCCAACCCTGGTCCCTGTGGTCTAATTGCAAAGCATAGTAGCCATGTATAAAAGGACAGGGAAGAGAACTGTGTTGTCTTTGTTCTTACTCGGGTTTGTATAAACTTGATGTGTAGGTGGAAAGGTCACCAATGAAAATGAAGCGATGTTACAGGGAGCAGTCAATTTGCAGACAGACCATGTGTGAGTAATCAGCATTGTGGGAGGCCCAGAAAAGGCATTCCAGGAACTCTAGATTTCGTACTTTTAAAAAACAAAAGCAAATCTTGCTATGGGTTAGGATTGGGTGTTTACACACACCCCCACCCCCGAGACTAATGGAAATTCCCAAATCCCACATTTAATCCCAAAGCTGAGGCTGCAGTGAGTCTGATGTGAGGAGAGAGGAGAGCTGGTATGTGCGGTGACTGCAGAATAACCCATCTGCCACCAGATTCATCCTTTGGAACCCCAAAGTCTAGTTTTGAGAGTCACGAAGAAAAGAGCAAGTGTGCTAGCAGCAGGATCAGCAATGTCTTAGCTATAGACTAACGAAGTTGCACTGTGGCATTGGTGTTCTTTGTCCTCACCTAAACTTATGGGAAGCGGAGTCTTTACTACAGATGCTGCTTCTCTCCTGAGTCAGTTTTGCTCATATGGAAATGCGCTGTTACTAATGGTAAAATCAAGGGGTTGGGGGTGTGGGCATTAAATGTAAATAATTTCTTAATTTTGTTCATGTGATTATATTTAAATAAAATTCAAAAAGAAATGGGGAGTTCCTTCGTCTTAGGGCATTAATTTGGTGGCAGGTGTTCCCACCCTGCAGCAGGGACTCTGCCCTTAGAAATACACTGTGAAAAACAAGTGTGCCTCAGCCTTCAGGAAGCCTGCAAGGTAACAGGAAGATGAATGTCAAAAATAGATGAACAGGTCACTAGCTCCTTATGATTGCCGTAACTGTTGTGAAAGAGCCTTTTTCCTGGTCTCCAAAACAGGCTACTACAGTGAACAAATGTTTGGGTGTGTCAGTCATTTGAAATAACCAGCATGTCTTTCTCAGAGTTATATGTTTGCCTGATACTTTGGGCATGTATTTCTTAATATACCTTTATGTTTGGAAGCTTATAAAATGTTTTTTTAAAAATGTTCAGGCAGTAGTGGCACATGCCTTTAATCCCAGGACTTGGGAGGCAGAGGCAGGTAGATCTCTGTGAGTTCGAGACCAGCTTGGTCTACATGAGACAGTTCCAGGACAGGCTTCTCTACAGAGAAACCCTGCATCAAAAAAACCCCCAATATTTATATTAAAATTATGTCATTTACCATGTTCCCTTTCTTCCATCTGGTCCTTCCCATCCCCCTTTCCCCTGCTCCCTCTCAAAATCCTGTCCTTTTCAGTTGTCACACACACACGCACACACACACACACACACACACACACACACACACACACACACACCTAATTACATAAACCTACACGTAGTCTGTTTAGTGTTTCTTGTATGTATGCGATTTCAGTGCTGGTCATTTGGTATTAGGTGACCAATTTAAGGCCTCATTTCTTCTGTTTTCAGTATTTCTTAGTTGACTGTAGTCCTTTGGGGTGGGATGAGATTTCCCCTTCAAAGTTAGCATGTCTATTAGCACTGTACTTCTTGTTTAACTGCTAATACTGTCAAGACATCAGAGGTGAAGCTGCCCTCCCATTTATAGGACACACAGTATCCAGAGAAGCTTTCTGGTTCCCCCCACTCTCACAATCTTTCCACACCCTCCTCCTTCTCTGTGACTTAAATGCAGAAGTTGTATTGTAGATGTACATATTGGAGTTGGGCAGCCACAAGCAATTGTTCTCTCTACTTTGTCTTGTAGTTTTCTGTAATATTTTTCCTCTGTTGTAAAGAGAAGTTTCTTTGATGAGAGATGTGAGTGTTACATTATCTGGCTGAGCCCTTGTGCAAAAGCAAAAAGATTTTTTAAAAAGATAATTTATAATAAAACAAGTCACTTCCTTCCAGTCATCCTGCAAGTCTTGAAGCCATTGTGCAAATCTGTGGGGCCATACCTCTCTAGATCCACTTAACTCCCTGAGGTCCTTCTTACATAGGGCAGAAGCTGCTGGAGCCTGATGTGGTGGTCTTGATCATGCTCCTTCCCTAGTTTCTGTTTTTCTCCACTCTGTTCCCTCCCCCAAGGAACTCAACCCTAGCTTCTGCATGACTTTTTTTTTTTTTAATCTGCTTTCCTTATCTTGTCAGTTGGCAAACTGAGTTGATTGCATCTTCTCCCTATCTCTCAGACCCAGCTCTGTTTCTCTGACCATTGACCAGATCATGCTCTGTGACTTCAATTGCACTGTTTTATATATATCTCAGATACTAAGAATTTGGTAAATGCAGTCTGTATGTATGACTTTTCTCTCCAAAAGTCCGTGGAGGCTTTTATTTATTCATTGGCTGAGATCTCTGCAGTAGCACCACGCTCCAGTATTTTTCTTTCTTTCAAAATAGTGATGACCGCATGCAATGTGTGCAAAGATGAAAGACAGAAGACACCAGGAGTAAGTATTCGCAACAAAACAGTGATTGCCACGTACAGGGTTCAGGGAAATGGGGAGAAGTCAGTCAAAGCACAAAACCTTTCAGTTTTTAAAGGGTGACCAAACTATAGAAGGATGACAGTAATATTGAATTGTATATTTGAAATTGTATTAAATATTCTTAATCATAAAACAAAATACAGAAAAGGTTAATAATACAGGGTAAGAGCTGTATTGACTTGTCTTAACTGCAACAATCATTTCAAAATTACATGACTATCAAGTCATTCTATTACATGCCATAAAATAATAGGATTTTCTTTATTACTTAGTTACACATCAATACAGCCCAGGAGTGATATGAAAGAGAACAGAAGACAAAGGGTTGGAGGAAGGGATGAAAAGAGGTTGGAGGGAGGGAGGGAGGGAGGGAGGGAGGGAGAGAAGGAGAGGAGAGAGAGAGTTAGAAATATAGAGCGAGAAATAGAGAAATAGAGAGAGATTTATCAGTCAGAAAAGTTCCTGTGATATTTTTCTTAAATAAATTGTAAATAATAGAAAATATACTAGCATTGTTCAAACTGGAAAACCTGACAAGTATATGCCTCAACATGTGTATTCGTGGATACTTGAGTAAGGAAGAGTAGGAATAGTTACATCCCAAACAGCTAATGTAGCTATCATAGAAGGTTGAGAGATGTGATCCAGTCTTAGTTTTTATTGTGAGAGACTTGGCTTGTGTTGTCGTTAGCAGGAATTAAACGGGAAAGGCAGTTGGGGGGCAGTAGATTTGGCTTGTGTCAGTGTTAGCAGGAATAATGAAAAGGCAGGTGGGGGATCTCATGCAGAAGAGCAGGTGAGATTAGCAGCTATTTGGGTGTGAGTAGGAGGCAAATGAAGAAGTCAAAGATGGCTCAAAATTTCCAGCCTGGGGGCCTGGGGACTGCAGCTACCATTTATGAATATTATGGGGAACAAGATGAATTCTTTTCATTGTTAACAGAGAAGAGAGAATGAGTTCAAGTGTCAATCAAAGTAACAGTGCTTCTTGTCTTAAGTAATAATTGCTCCACAAGGAAAGCTTTCTACGTGGATCTTAAAATCTCAAATAAAGTACTGATTCGATGAAGGGTGACACTGTGGTGTGTGAGTGAGATCTAAGGAAAGTTTTCTTGACTCTGCTGGATAATTGCCTTTCCTGTTAATTGGGGTGCCAGGAGCCAGATTGTTCATTTCTGTTCTTTCTTACCTGTGCAAGTTTTACAATGAACCAGAAAAGAAATGAGAATCTTGAATAGTCTCAAACCTGGGGAGAAAGTAAGTTCTCCTGCTGTATAGAAGCTAGCGAAAACTAAAAAATATGTGGCCTGTGCATTTTTATTGCATTGCTCTTTGAAACATTCCATCAGGCAGCCCTGCTGAAGTCTGTGGATCGATAAATACCATGAGCACTTTGATCCAAAGAAGGAAGCGTTAGAATTGAGCCCCACTGAGAATTTGTTTCTTGCAAATGCTGTCAAAATGCTGGGAGAATTTATTTCTATATATTATGTCATATTTTATGTTGGGTCTGAAATAGAATTATATAATCCATCAGTAAGAGATATTTGCATAAATGAATGAGTCAATACAGTCATCTGAATAAATCCTTTCAATTTTAAGTTATGAATAAGTCAGCTTCTTTTGCACATCTTTTTCTCTTCATCTTTCATTGTGTTTTTACATCACACTATTTCTATGTTAATTTTTCTTAAATGAATTATATAGTCATTACATTATAAACAAATTGCTAACTAAACAGAGTTAAAATAAGGTATTTATATTGCTGCCATTCTTTTATTTCTAATTTAAAAACTCATGAATTTTAAGTCTTCAGAAAACTGTTTGTGATGATTGATTTCATTAGATAATTCTCATAATTCATTTTAAACAACATGCAGTCTCCCATTGGAGAAATTAGACCAAAGGAAATAAACTTAGTATTTTGTATATTTCTTATTTTTCAGAAAATAAATACAGTTGGAAACAGTAATGCAGATGTCCCTTTGGCTGATCCCGGAATGTACCAGTTGGACATCACACTAAGAAGGGGTCAAAGTTTAGCTGCCCGTGACCGAGGAGGTAAACCTTTCAGAACACAGTCCTCTCAAAGCTTTTTCTATGTGCTTGTTGCAGATTTTGTTTTCTTTGTTAACTTTGGATTCAGAGACACACTTTACTATGTGACTTGACTACTTTAAAGTGGAAGATACAGATTCCGCAATTCTGACCCAGCTGGTGAGGTTTCCACAAAACTCTTACAATACTGATTTCTCAGTGCATGTTATCAATGCAGTATCTGCATTCATATATTATATTAAGGTATACATGTATGGAGGTGAGCACACATTCAAATAGGTGAGATATACTTATGCGAAGGTGGGTGTACATTTATATAAGTGAGATATGCATGTGCACATGTGGGCATATATTTACAAAGGTGATGGATGCATAGTATGGATAAGGTACACATGTACATAACTGAGGCATAGGTACATAGTTGAGGATGCATTTACACAGGTGAACATAAATTCGTATGGGTGAGGCATATTTCTAAATAAGTGAGGCATACATTTATGTAGGTAAGACATAGGTGGTCATACACACACACACACACACACACACACATATATATATGAGTATACAGTTACATTAATATGGCATGCATTTGCATTCATTTACATGGGTAAATTGTACACAGGTGAAACCTACGTTTATGTAAGTGAGTCTACATTTAATTAGGTTACACAAATATCTGTTTAGGTGATCATACATTTACACAGATAAGGCATGCATTTACATAGACATATCTTTAGATAGGTGACAATACATATACACAGCTGTGTCAGAAGTTGACTTTTGATAGAAAATGTTTTCTTACTCGGAGTCGTTCAGTTTAATCTGCTGATGTTGTGTTATCCAAGAATACCATCTCCTCAACACTTGGATACTGTCAATCAGCAGCTGTCTGAACCTTGGTTGACTGCTTACTTCCTAGTAGAGTATACAGAAATTTGTAGGCAGTCCAAGGGGAAAAGGCAGTCAGTACGTTTTAGTTCTCAGATTCCAAATGCTTGAGCAATCTCTTCATGAATTAGTCTGGGACACACAAGAGCTTTCTAGACCCAGAGTAGAGGCAGACTCATGGAAAGAGTTTCAGTAGACTGGGCAGAATCCTAAGGGAGCATCCAGTATCTGTTCTGCAAGAGTTAGTGGGAAGTTACACCTTCAGGATGCTAAGTAGAGATGTATACCTTCCATCAGGAGGAAGGATGTTCCGTACGCCTACACCAGACCATCTCTGGATACAGACAGCCTCCTGACTGTGTGATGTGTTTGCCTCCGCACCTCACTACAAAGAATGTCAGAGAAACAAGATTAAGGATGCAAGTTATCATTTCTATACTTTGTCTCTAAATGATGATTTATTTAATGCATTAATGAATTTTCATAACTAGAAATTTAAACATGGATTCAGTTTTAAGCAAAAACTAATACATGCCATAGCATTCTTAATGAATGGATAGTGAGAAAAATGTTAAATTTAAGTAGACAAAGGAAGCTTTTCAGAATCAAATGTCTGTTCTGAAAGCTAAAGAAAAATAGTTATTGAATTAGACCATCTCAGAATAAAGAAACAAATAAAGACAAATAGCATGCAGTTAACATCATTTAACAGAATATTTTTATTATTCAATGTGATCTCAAATTAAATTGACTCATTTGATCTAAAATACAATTAAACCAAGAAGCAATATCAAACTTTTAATCCCAGGTCTGTTCCCAACATTGTTAAACACCTATATAAATAGCTACTGGTTGTATCATTGTTTATAGTTATGTAATTATTGAAACAATATAACTACTCAAAGATAGGTAAATAGTTAAAAAAAAACTATATATCATCCATGCAAGAGCATAGCCTGTAATTGTGAGAAAAAAATGGTAGGGGGTGGGGAGTAGAGTAAGAAAAATGTCTAGAAGTTAATGTGGAAAAATTGACAAGATAAATTGTTAGGTTCATGTAACCAAAGTTCAAAAGAACTTTGGTATCAATAGAAAGCAATTTTTCTTGTAAGAAGTGAAGAGCTATAATAAATCAGGTAGTCTGCTAATTTCTGCAAAAGAATACACAGAGAGAAAGTTAGACCCTTGTAGTAGGAGCAGCAGGCTGTGTTCCTGCTGCCCGGTCGCCTGGCTCCTGCACAGCTAGCTTTACCTGAAATAACAACACACAAATTGTATTCTTTCAAACACTGCTTGGCCCATTAGTTCTAGCCTCTTATTAGCTAATTCTCACATCTTGATTAACCCATTTCTAATAATCTGTGTAGCACCACGAGCTGGTGGCTTACCAGGGAGATTCTTAACCTGTGTCTGCCTCAGAGAGGAGAATCATGGTGAATGCCTGGCTTGGCTTCTTTCTCCCAGCATTCTGTTCTGTTTTCTCTGCCTACCTAATTTTCTGTCCTATCAAAGGCCAAGCAGTTTCCTTTATTAATTAACCAATGAAGCAACAATAGAAAGATGACCCTTCTCCATCAGACCCTAATGGAATTGGTAGCATTCTGATTAGAGGTGAGAACAAGTGCTGAGAATGGGGTGAGAGTGAATAGGTAAAGTGACAGTAACTGTAACATTGTGGCTGGGCTTATTGGGGTTTCTGTCCTGCCCAGTTCCCACAGCCATTTGGCCCCAAAGAAAATCACACAGAGGTCTATATTAATGATAAACTGATTGGCCCATTAGCTCAGGCTTCTTGCTAACTCTTATAACTTATATCAACACATTATTCTTATATATGTTAGCTATATGGCTCAATACCTTTTTCAGCGAGGCAGGTCACATCCTGCTTCTTCAGTGTTCTTGGCAGGGCTGGAGAGGAATGGGCTTCCTCCTTCCCAGAATTCTCCTGTTGTCATTACCCCACCTCTCCTTATACTTCCTGCCTGGTCAATTAGTGTTTATTTAAAACATTATTGACATAATACAGACAATTCTTCCACACCACTTCCCCCTCTTTTTTTTTAATCAAAGGAAAAATATCCATAGTCCATTTTTTTGGGAATGCAGGCATAGTATTCCAGGCTACTTCTGGCTGGTTGGGGGTGATGATAATCTTATGGGGACCTAAAGAAAATTTAGAGTTACAGCCAAGTCCTGACTGGAGTATCCTGTGAGTCTTGATCATATCAGGCAGCAGTTTTGAATCTGTTCTGGACATAGAACTTTGGCATCTGAGCCATCTGTTTCTACTGGAGATTTCTCAGGTGGTCTTCCTTGATCAAACCTGATTTTTCTTAGCTCAGAATGAATCCACAGCCTCTCATTTTCTGTGGAAACAAAAGCAAAAATTTCTTCTCCAAAGTAACATACCTTTTGACTTCAATTTTGAAGTCAAGGTGTTTTCAAAATACATACCTTGGATTAATTTAGCAGCATTTATAAGTAAATATCTTTTAGTAGCTGTTGCTCCTTCCCCAGCTTTCAAACAATTCAAAGAGAGCATAATAACATACAGTATCCAGATTCTCTGTGTGTTTTCCATATTTATGTGGCTTTATTTTAAAATCTATTTCTTTATTTTTACTTTTAACTTTTAGCTTTTTGAGACAGGTTCTCTGTGTACCTTTGTCCTTGAACTCCCTCTGTAGACCAGGCTATCCTTGAACTCACAGAGATCTGTCTGTCTCTGCCTCCCAGGCATTGAGATTAAAGGTGTGTAGCACCATACAACCCATTTTACAAGTAACATTTCTCCAAATGAATTCTTCTTTCAGTATTGTTCTTTCTAGATGGTATGCCATGAAAATCAACACAAAGAGAACTATGCAGAAATATTACAATTTAGAGCATGACTATTAATTTTGAAAGTACTTAATAAGTATGCTAAGATCTAGCTAGCAAACAAGTAAATATACTGCAGATTCTGAGACCCAAATTTCTTACTGTTGAAAAAATGATGTGTAAGTATATAACAGGGATAATCTAGACTAAGTTCTCAGATGTCACAGATATCAGTTTCAACTGTTATCTATCTATCTATCTATTGAGATAGATAGAAATACACATGGATAAATATGTCTGCTTTGAATCTGTCTATGTGGGGCTAGGAACAGTGACCGATGTAATAACATAGTAATTAACACACCAAGTGTCCAAATCTTGGTTTTTAAATACAATTATCCTACTGAAAGTGATCAGGATTTTTGAGAAATTAATGATTACAGACCTGGGTAGGGAAAGTACAAGATGAATTGGGACATTTTGCATGACAAAAAGTCAAGAAGTACTCAAAAACTTGCTAGCAGAGTGTCAAAACACAGAGGCCACTTCAAAGAAGCATTATTGACTACAGTTGAGACAATCAACAGGAGTGTTAGGGTGGGGATAATGTGCGGACATAGGAAGAAGCAGATATCTACCTCCATGGTAAACCAATGACTGGATGCGTAGATAGGAGGGAGAGGAAGATAGCTTTCCTTGGGCACAAAGCTACCATTTAAGGACACCACGGTCATAACAATCCCAGGCAGAAATTATGCTAAAGTTGTGTATGAAAATTCTGATGTGAAGCAGAGTATTTGGAACATTTCAGGGTGTAGCTGAGGAAGAGACTTCCCTGGCCAAGTTACAGTTTACAGGCAGTCACCACTGGTAGTCGTAAGATATGCAGGCAGCTCATGCTTCACATGCCATGTGCTAAGAAATGTACACCATGACTGTGGCCAATTGTGTCAAGGCTCAACATGCTTATAAGTATATAATCTTGGCAAACTGTGTCATCTTAGGATGCCATTTGCTTGAGCATAGCAGGCTTTGTTCTTCCCTTAAGATACTGTGTCATCTTTCTCCTATCCCTCTTTCTAGAATTATTCATGTATATGAATTGTACAGAATGTTGGATTTCATCGTTAAATTTTCAAACATGTATCATGTGTGCTAGCATTTAGTCCATTACCCTGTCTTAAGCAGCATATAAAATATACTAAACTCACATCTAAATCCAGAGTCTCTTGTCCCACATACCCTGCTTTACCACAGCTTCCAGTCTGGATTTCATGTGGAAACAGCATTGTTTT